TACTGTGAATTCATCTGTACCTGAAAGTTTTTTTTAAACTGGAAGGCTTTTTGTTGGTATTTCAATCTCCTTATTTATTACGGGTCTGCTTAGATTGTTGACTTGATTCGTTTTTGTCATTTGGATGAATATATAAAAGCATTTCCTCTATATTTATTAGGGTCATGGATTACAGGTTTTAAAAATATTTCTTTATAGAAGTGTGAATTTATATGATGTCTATTATATTTCCCTGCTCATTTCTGATTCTGTTGATTTGGGCACTCTTTTTCATTTCATTAATTGAATCAATAGTCTGTCAATATTGTTTATCTACTCAGAGAACACTTAATTTGTTGATTCTTTGCAATTTTTTCCTCTTTTTGTTGACCCCTGCTCTGATTTTTATTATTTCTTGTCATATACTGGGTTTGATTTGGTTTGTTCTTATTTTCCAACTTTTTGAGTTGCATCATTAAGTCATTTATTAGTGCTTTATGATTTTGGGGGGATATAGGCTTTTAGAACTATAAATTTCATTGTGTCCCAGGGTTTTGTTGCAGTGTTTTTTCATTTTCATTTAGTTCCAGAAATTTTTCTGTTATTTCCTGATTTTTTTCTTTGGCCACTTAATCAATCAATAATGAGTTTGTGGGTTTGTGGATTTCCTAGAGATTTGTGTGTTATCAGTTTTCAGTTTTATTGCATTTTGGTCAGATAGAAAAAAGGAGTAATTTCATCCTTTTTGATTTTGTAATGATTTGTTTTGTGTCCCAGGATATTGCCTATTAGAAAAGTGCTTCTGAATGGAATGTGTATATTTTAGTATTTGGGTAGAATATTCTGTGATATAAAATCCATTTGATGTAAAATGTCAGTTAATTCTGATGTTTCTCTTTGTTTTTGTTTGGATGACCTGTCTAATTGAGAAAATGTGGTATTGAAGTCACCTCCTATTAAGAGATTGATGTTAATATGTGTCTAATACCAGTAGTATTTTTTGTTGAATTGTGCACCCATGACTTTGATGAGAAATGAGATGATTTTTCCTATGGGGTTTCTGTTACATGAGACTTGAATTCTTTCTTTTTCACTTTCAGTACACTTTCTTTGTTATATGTGTTTAATGTTTTAACTATGATATGCCATGGTATTTTATTTTCTGATCTTATCTATTTGGGGTTCTGTGTACTTCTTGTATTTGTATAAGTGTTACTTTTCTTAGTTTGGAGAAATTTGTTTCTATGCTCTTGTTGAAGTTATGGGCTATGCCATTGACTTGGGATTCTTTTCTCTCATGTCTATAATTCAAAGGTTTCATTTTTCATGGTACCCCAGAATTCCTGCTTGCTGCTTTCCTGATTTGTTGCTTTTATGTTGAAGTCCTTGGTCCATTTGTAGTTGACTTTTGTGCAGGATGATAGTAACAGATCTACTTTCATTCTATTACACCCAGCTACCTAGTTTGAACAGCACCATTTCTTGAAGATGCTGTCTTTTCTCCACTATATTTTTGACTTTGTAAAAGATTATGTGTCTGTAGTTTTGTGGCATTATGTTGAGTTCTTCAACTTGGGTCCATTGATTAATATTCTGTTTTCTAAAATGTCAATGCCATGCTGTTTTTATTATTATACTCTGTAACACAGATTGAAATCTGGAACGATGATGCCTCCTAACAGTTATTTTATTATTCAGTATTCTATTGCTTCTGGGATTTTTTTGTTTTTGTTTTCATAAGAAGTTGAAGATTTTTTTCAATTTCTTTGAAGAATTATGTTGGTATTTTGATTCAGATTACACTAAATCTGTAGATTGCTTTTGGCGGATGATCATTTTTACAAAATTAATACTACTGGTATATGAAAATGGGAGATATTGCAATTTCTGATGTCTTCTTCCATTTCTTTATTCCATGCCATAAAACTTTATTGACTGTGGAATTCCTAGTAGAAAATTTTTCTGTGAGTTTACAGTGTCACAAAAAAACGGAGATGGGCTAGAAGAAAAGGGTGAAGTGAGTGATGGGCAAGACCTAGGGACATTCTGCTTCTGCACCAAGATAGAGAGTCCGTAGGCGAAATTGGTGGGTTGGGAAAAGGGGTTCCTGTGGACAAGCAGTAGAAGGACTAGGAATTAATCTGGCGAGACTAGACTAGAGGATAGGAAGAACAACAAATGCAGCCTAATATGGCCACTATGAATCCCTTGTGGAACTTAGTTCTGTGGGTTGAATCAGGGAACAGGGATCACAAAGGAGTGGATATGGGATAAAAGGAAAGGTAAACTGATGCAGCAGGAAAGAATTAAGAGGAAGCTGTGTACACACTACTTTACTACAAGTATCTTCAGGATACTTTTTATTGTTTTTCATTTTTCTTCTGTTTCTTAAACTACCTTGATTTGTGTTTGATATCTTTTTATAACCTCCAGATGTTCTAGTGAGTTTTCTTTATTCTTTTTCTTTTTCACTTGGACTTATGCAGTTCAATTCATTTAGGCTCAAGGCCATTTATCTTGTCCCTAACACTTCATCTAGTTTTCATTACAACTGCTTCAAACATATTTTTCCATATATCCAATGATTAGATTATTTGTGTTAATTCATTTTTTCCAACTCTCGAATTTACAGCTGATGTTTTCTTATGTTTATAATTTTAAGCTTTTATTTATTAATTGTCAATATCATTTCTCTAGAATTTTTTTATTTTAACTCACCAATAATTATACTTACTTAAGTGGTGAATGTGGTAATATAATATATACATACATTAAGTGATAGTAAAAGGTGGGTGGTTAGACTATTTACCATTCAAAATATTTAATATATCTTTGTATTGGCAATCAAAATTATGTCATCAGTCTTGGCGGCAGAGAACTTTACACCCTGAGCTATCTCACCAACTCCCGTACTTCTTCTTTTGAGAAGCATCTATTATTTAATTTGGTCATTTGTTGATTGGAGTATTTGTGTGGTTTTTGTGTTACCTTTTTCAGTTCTTAATATATATTATAGATATTAATTCCTTGTAAACTGTGTAGCTGGCAAAGATTTTCTTCTATCATGTCTTCTGTCATCTAAAGGCTGTCTCTTTATTTTGTTCTTTATTTTGATGCAAAATTGTGTTTTCATTTCATGAAATAGTGTTGGTCAATTCTAGCTAATATTTACTGAAATATTATAAACATTTTCAAAAAGTTCTTACCCATGCCTGAGTCAAAATACGTGTACTATATTTTCTTGTAGCAGTTTCTCAGTTTCAAGCAAATACCTAAACCTAGAAGTGGTACATGTTCCAGACACATCGTTCTTGGAAGTATATCTAGAGGAAAATAAGTAAGCATATTACAGAGTATTTGAACAACCATGCTTACTATAGCACTATACAAATTATAGAATCAACCTAGGTGTTGATCATCAAATGAATAGACAATGTATAGATGTACAATGGAATTTCATTCATCCTCAGAGAACAATGAAACTGTGTCATTTGTAGTAAAATTGATGAAAATGGAAATAGTCATATTAAGTGAAATAATGCAGACTCACACGAATATCATGTTTTCTTCATGAAAAATATACACACATAAGTATATAACATGTAAGTAAAGGGGGACTAATTGGAAAAATACTTGAAAATGCAACAGGAGAGTGATGCAGTGAATATAGTCAAAGTACTTAAAGGAAAACGTCACTTAAAATTTGTCACTTTTTTGCCTAATAAAATATTTTAAAACAGAACAAGAACCAATAACACAAAACCAATAAAACAAAAGCAAGCAATTGAAAAATCAGGGTTTAATTACCTTTAATATACAGATTGAAAATAGGAGTCAGAGGAGTTCTGAGATTTTGTACTTTTAGATAGATGTTTAGAAGAATATAAATGCCATTTGCTATCTGCTTCTCCTGTCATGGGGAAATTTTAGTATTTTTCTTGTTTAATTACCTTGTAAGTAAATGTTGTCTTTAATTTTCAAACATGTATATTTTATAATTATTTATATTTAAAAAATTCTAAGTATCTTGTTTAAGCCTTCCATTTATCTTCTGAGAAGTCTGAGAAGTCTGATTTCAAATCTTTTATGCATTACTATCAATTCTGAAATATAAGACATATGGAAATTTTCTTATATCATACATAAATGACAGATTATAGTATGTGTATTTTATTATGTTTTTTTTAATTTACATTAAAGAAAGAAGTCTCTTCAATTGAATCAAATTAATTTTGGTCATTCTCCAACTTTCTTCCTGTGATTGTATTTTCCATGTGTCTAAAATTCACATTTGTTATACATTTTCTACTTTCAGATTTTCAGTAAAATACTGGCTGCAATTCTGCTCTCTTAGAAAGTCATTATGATTCAAATGAACAGTGGGAAAAATGGACAAATGGTGGGGGACTTAATTCAGTAATATTTTATCACCTAAAAATAATCAAGGACAGGACATAGAGTTAATGCTAAGGAGAAAATAAGGAACTGAAAAAATATCAAGAACATAATAGAAAATATTTCCATCTTTCTTTTTATAGAAGCATATAATTACTTATATCTACTTCCTCTAAAGGTTGTTTGCTATACTTGTCTAAGCATATGAACAAAATAGAACAAAGAATAACATTGCATACCCTCATTTTCACACAACCAGCAGGGAAAACTTTTTTCTGAATACTAACTCTAAATTTCTAACAAATAGAATACGGTTACTCTAATTTGAATCAAATGCTAGTTATATGCAATCCAAAGACTGGGTTGCATATGACTGTTCTAGTATTTAGGAGTGGAAATTGGTTCATAGGAACATAGATAATGAACAAAACATCCTATAATGTGTCTACCATGTCTATATTTAAATACTAATTCTGAGATTTTACTCAGGAAGGTCATACAAAGCCTTTCAAGCACAAGTTTGTAGCTAATCAAGTTTATATTCTCTCCAGTATAAATGCTTTAGTGTGTTATGTTTTGTTTTTAACTGAAAAGGCTATAACTTTGTGATTTATTTGTTTTTTCAGCCAATAACTACAACAGTTTTATCATATGGACCTCCCATTCAATATACATCCCTTCCAAGTCAAAGAGTCTCTGAGAGTTATTCATTTTCACAAAGAGTTGACACTCCAAGGTAACTCTCACTAAAAATCATATCTATCTATAAATGTTTTTTCACCTGGACTGGAATGTAAAAATATTCTATTTTTAATTTGTGGTACACTTTAAATGTGATACTTAATCCCTAATTGCTGATATATTGACTAGATAGTGAAAAGAACATGACGTATTAGGAAAGAAGTATCCTACTCAGGGAAATACTTTTAGATCATTTGGAAAATAGTTAATGTATGAGAAGATGCAAATAGTTAATGTTAGGAAAGAGTGTACAATAAGCACACTAATTCTTTTTTTGCAAAAATAAAACCCTTAATGTTGTCTTTTGCTTTATGCAGTCGACAAATAGGACTGTATGTTCCATAGTATTTTCTTATAGAATAATTTCAACAGAGATAATGTCTTAGTACCAAGTTGTAAATATTTAAACATGTATTTATGTTTGTTTTTCTTGAAGTGATGAAGGAGGAGTTATACTGGAACATGATAAAGGAAGCAAATCTGAAACAGAAATTTCTGATACAAATGCATCTGAAACTTTGGGGGGTTTTTTTTACTATAAAACTTTCCAAGACCTAACAATTATTGAAAGTGATACTCCTCTTATGGACTCTGGTTCTGAAAGGTGTATGATTGATTCTGACTCTGACAGAGGCGTTGTGTCAGATTTTGAGTTAGAACAGTATTCTGATTCAGAAAAGTCTCCTAGGGATTCAGACTCTAGAAAACACCTGATAAAAGCAGAAAATGATCAAATGGAGTCAGTTTCTATTGAAGACTTGACTAAGACCGGGCAACAGCTAGTGAGAATTGAACAGTGCCAGGTGGAATCTGGATCTCTGACACAGTGGGTGCCTTCAGGCTCAATAAAGTTACTGGAAGATTCTGACTCTGCAAGAGACTCTGACTCTGATAATGAAAGGAAGAAAGAAGAAAAACGTCAAATGGCTTCAGATTCTATTAAACGTCTATTGGCATCTGAGAAAACAATGATGGATACTGAAAGTTTCTGGATGATTCCTGATTCTGAGAGTTATGTAGTGGACTTAAGCACAGAAAAAGGTAGAGCATCAATATCTAAAGTACATCTGATAGAGGTGGAAAATACAGAAAGGCGAAGATCTAAGAGATATATGGAGGACTCTGACTCTGAAACAAGTGAGACAGACTTAGATTCAGAAAGACATGAGCTAGCCTCAGCAGCTCTGAAATATTTCATGGATACAAAAACTTCTAGGAACAAGTTCCCAAAGGATTCTTGGTCTGAAAGAAGAACACTGAACTCAGACTCTGATAGCCCTGTGATGTCCTCTGATTCTGCGAAGCACATGAAGAAGGCTGAAACATGCAAAAGTACCTGTAACTTGGAAAGACTCAAGGTGGCTCACAAATCTGAGTCTCTGCAGGAATGGTTAGATGCTAAAAGAAAACAGTTAGATTCTTGTCATAGTGGACACTGGGATAGCTCTGGAAAATATCAGTTTAAGTCTATAGTGCCTCAGTATAGCATTGGAAAATGTCAGGGTGACCTTCAAACATTTCAGAGTGTCACTGAAAAAGATAACGTAGACTCCAGTTCTGAAAAATATCAGAAAAAAACCGGCAATGAAAGTGATCAAAGGGACCCTGAAAGTAAAAGACACCCCATAAAGAGAGAGAAGGGATTTGACAATAAGCGGTCTCAAATGGATAAGGAAAGAGAAGGACATCTCATGGCGTCTGACTGTCGTGATTCAGAAAATGAAGCACACCGGCTTGGTGCTCGTAGAAAGGAAAATCGTCCTCCAGGTAAGCTAAAATGTATGTGGCCTTTGAAAATATCTTATAAATTTTATTAATAGCATCATAACATTTCCCAAAATGTCAGTAACTTTGGTATATTTGTGACAGAAACCACTTAAGAAAACTGCTAAGAAATTCAGAAACTAAACACCCTCATTCCAGATTTTTATTTCATTTTCAAAATTGGGAATATTATCCTATTTTAGGTAAATTTTTATCTCTTATATTTTAAAAAAGAGGAAAGTTAAAAATGTTTATAAAAATACTGTATATTCTGGCCTAAGAACACAATGTTTAATTTAGCTCCCATCATTCTGGAATAAATAGAAGGAGATTTTCCCCGTTTAGTTATTGTAAAGAGATATAAGTACAGAAGCCTAAATACATCAGCATTTAAATTACCTTTCTTCTCTCATAAAGGTTTTCCTCAAGTTCCATAATTTCAATGAATAATTTGCATTTATCTGTAACTTGTGTTTATTTTATCATAATACATCATTATAATCCTCCAGCTCTTAGACTAGTCATTCGCAACTTGTGGGTCATGACCTCTTTCAGGGAAAATGACCCTTTCACAGGAATTGCATATCAGGTATCCTGCATATCAGGCATTTACATTAAAATTTATCACAATCGTGAAATTACATTTATGAAGTAATAACAGAAATAATTTTGTGGTTGAGGGTCACCACAACATGAGGAACTGTGTTAAAATAATTAGGAAATTTGAGAACCACTGCCCTAGAAATTTAATTGACTCTTGAGAACAAATATATGTGCTGTATATAGAATTACTATGCACTACTCTAAATATTTTACATGTACTAATTAATATTGATTCAGTGGCACTAGTTTACTAAAGCTCAAAGATTTTACATATACAAATGTATTAACTTCTTCCCATACTAGAAGAAAGTAAGGTACAAATAAGTAACCAAACTAGTACAATAAAAAATAGGGTGTGAACCCATGCTCTAGTGTTTATGTTGCTGACCATGAAGATGCACTATTAGATAACTCTAAGAGGTATTTCCCACTGACCACCATGAAAACAATAAGTTAAAGTTATATGTCTTGTACTTTTAACTTAGTTTTATCTGAATATAGTGTCTTAGTTTACAAGCATAATTATGATACATGTATTGTAACATTTTTATCATGGATTTTCTACAAAACAGTTGTAAAAATTGAATGTGGTAGCATGTGCTTTTAATCCTAGTGCTGGGATTGTAGAGATGGCAACATTCCTAGGACTCAATGTCCAGCCAGCCAACCTCGGCTAATTAGACAGCTCAAGTTTCCATTGAGAGACTCTGTTTAAAAAAAATAAAAAACTCTGAGGCAAGATACCTGATGTTGATCTCTGACCTCCACCAATATGCATACGCAAAGGTGTTTCTGCCTGCACATATGTGAACACCCATAGCTATGTGCAAGCACACATGAGTATGCACCAAATAAACAGTAATAATAATATAGTATATATGTGCATACTACAAATGTTGAGAAATAAAGCTCAAGTAGACATCTTCCCTAAATGGCCACATAGATAATTATTGACCAAGCTAGAGTACAGAAACTCCTAGTCTAGTATTTTTTCAAATGTATCTGTGAATTTAGTTTATAATTGTGTACCCTAGTTAGGGTTATTATTGCTATGACAAAAGACCATGACCAAGGCAAATTATAAAAGGAAGCATTTAATGGAGATTTACTTAACTGTTTAAGGAAGTTAATCCATTATCATGGTGGGAAGCATGGCTGCAGGCAGGCAGACATGTTGCTTGATCAGTAGCTGAGAACTCAGATCTGATCCAAAGTTTGCATGTAGAGAGAGAGAGAGCGAAACTGGCCTGGCATGGGCTTTTGAAACCTCAAATCCTACCTGCAATAACACACATGCTCTAGAAATGCAAACTTACCCCAACAAGGCCACAATTCATAATCTTTCTCAAATATTTCTTCTAACTGGAGAACAAGTATTAAAACATATGATCCTGTGGGGGTCATTTTCATCCAAACCGCCTCACTGAGAAAATATTATTTGCCCTGAAACTAATCACTTAAATATACTTTCGCTTAATATTTGAATTTGGATAGAATTATCAAATTTCATAGTAAGCCACATAAAGCATGCAATGGTATTTGTCTAATCAGAAGATAGAAACACTTTGAAATATTGGTCTAAATTTTTACTAAGTGTTCTTATTATGTAAATCACATTAATAACAATATATCAATAGTTTTTTAAATTATTACCAAAGTGGGCATTAAAATATATGATTACATTTAGGAAATGTGACATATTATTAAAGTCGTCTCTAAACATAATCATTTCTCAGTATACTTCCTGCTTTGCTTCATACATAAATAACTTAATCTACAAAGTCACAAGTAAAACTATCAACCCTTATGGTCTAGAAATCTATATAAATTTTGGAGTTTGAGAAAGTGTCCTTTGATTTTACAAATATCATGCAGAATTTGTACTGCCTGTTCCCAGTTGAATGATTAATCACTATTTATTATTGCTCAGCTTATTCTGAAAATAATAGGCTTTTCAGTTTACTTGTTTAAGATACCATGCACCTGAGATCCACAGTCAGGCACTGGGCCAAGCTCCTGAAATCTGGTCAAAGAAAGGGAATAGGGATTATATGATCAAGAGGGGTCAAGATCCTAACAGGGAAACCCACAAGAACAGCTGATCTGAGCTCCTGGGAGCTCAGGACTCTAGACTGACAGCTAGGGAGCTTATATGGGATTGACCTAGGCCCTCTGCATGTGGGTGACAGTTGTATAGCTTCCTCTGTTTTTGGAGCCCCTAGAAGTGGGACTAGGATCTGCCCATGGTGCATGAGCTGACTTTTTAGAGCCCATTCCCTATTGTGGGATGCCTTGCTCAGCCTTGATGCAGGCAGGAGGAGCTTGGTCCTATTTCAACTTGAGATGCCAGGCTTTGTTGACTCCCCATGGGAGGCCTTATCATTTCTGAGGAGTGGTTTGGGGGGGCAGAAATGAGGTGAGGGAATGGAAGGAGAGGAAGGAGAGGAAACCGGTTGCTGTGTAAAATAAATAAAATATTTAAAATTTAAAAAGACAGATTTTGGGGGAGTATCTGGGATTCCTCACTCATGCGTTCATATTATATATTAAAATATAAACCAATACTCTGGATGCAATTTTAAACCTACAATTAAATTTTCTAAGTATAAGGGAAGTGTTCTTATATGCCTTCTTTAACAAAATGTCTGCTGATAAAATTTGCTCAGTTTTGTTATATAAATAAAATGTCTGTAATACAGATAAAGAACTGCTCTTTGTGCTATACATGTCCTCTTCATTTCCAAATGAGCAATAAAACAAAGGCATCCTTTATCAAATTCTCTTTATAACAATAAATAGATGTAAGTAAAAGAGTTGGCTGTATCTCTAACTCCCAAAATGGAGTTCCTTTAATTCTGTGACTATGCATACTAAGTAGATGGGACATTTTAGCCAACTAGTCACTCTGTTATTATGAACTTGCTACAAAGTTTTTAAAGCTGACTATATTTTTAGCTGTTACATAAAGTTATACATGCCATAACATTTTAAAATTTATTTTTTCTTCTTAGAGGTAGCATGTGCTTTAATGAGAGAGAGGAGAGAGAGAGAGAGAGAGAGAGAGAGAGTTGCATATATAGGACATTTAAATTCATACCATATATGTGTCAAGAGAAAAGCACAGTGAGAAAGTGAATGAGAATAGACTTGAAGGAAACTGGTAACATCTGAGGATGAGTATTCCTAAAAGAGAAACAGCAATTACAAAATTCATAGAGTAGGAATATAACTGTTTTGAAGAAATAAGACAAAATTCATAGAGTAGGAATATAACTGTTTTGAAGAAATAAGACAAATTCATAAAATCTGTAAAACTAGTTTGCAGGGTATTCACAAACTTGTTTAAACATCAATTCCATACAATTACAGAACACTTTCTTCGCCCAAGAGGAAACTTTGTAGCAGCATTGTTCATTATAGCTAAAATGTGGAGACTGCTCACATGCTCAGCAAATAATGAGTGGATAAGTTAAATGTTGCATATCTACACAGTGGATGTTATTTAGCAATACAAAAAAGACAATGTTCATTTTTTGGTATGTTATAGGTAAACCTGGAAGACATTATTCTGAGTACAAGCAACTAATCAGAAAGAACCACATGTTGCACCTTCCCGTGTATTTAAAGTGCCCTATAGTATAAATCTATAGAGACAGAAGATATCTTAGTGGTTTCATAGTACTGTGTTAGAAGAACTAGAAGGTTATGACTAAGTGGTATATGACATTTGTTTTAAACTTCATTTTAATATGGTTTTAGTAAGAATCATGGAATTTGGGAATAAGAGTACAATTATAAATAAGTATATTTGAAAACGATATTACAGCATCAAATAAGATTTTTATTGTGTAATTATGTGGTAAACATTCTTTTGAAAAATATCATTTTATTAGTAATTGGAAAGTAACTGAGTCTGTTTAATATGATTCTAGGTTTTTGGAGGCCTGTTACCCTGACTCCAAAGCTTGGCCAGGAAAAGAAAAATGAAGAGCATAAGTCTGTACATCAAAAAGATAACAGATGTACGTATATTCAGTAGACATTGTCTAAGAATTTTATCAAGTTATCTGTTAATATTTGGGAAAATAAATTCAGACTCTTAAGTGTTAGACTGGTTATAAGATACTATAATACATAATAATACATAATTCTGTGATTTACTGCAATGTAAAAGCAACACAACAAAATGGCACATGAAGTAAGTTCTAGCTGCATTATGTGTAATTATGTACATAATCAAGCAAGGATCAATTTTTGGCGACATGTGTGGTATTTTCCTGAAATGCTGATGAGATTCCCCATACCTAACAATGTCCTTTTAATGGTTTAGGATGCAATTCACCCAATAGTATGAAACTCAGTGATTTCTAATATATTCACAAATATATGCAACTGTATATTAGCAGTGCAGTGACAACTCTGCAAATACTACCTATGTATCTTCCCTCAGAAACAACTAATCAACTTTCTGTCAATTTCCCTATTTTACTTATTTCATATTATTTGAATCATATGATGAGTGCCACTTTATCACTACATTCATTTAATAAGTATAATTACTTCAAGCTTACTTTATTATAGTGTGTATCATTCCATATTAGGCATTATCATATTTTATATATAGACCTATAAATTGATGGGTGTTTATATTCATTCAAGCTCGGATACAATGAATAAGGTTACTCTTAAGTGTTTTCAAAAGATTCTATGAGGGCATATGTTTCATTTCTTGCCAGCAATATGTCTAGAAGTCAAATTACATAGAAATCTATTATTTGTTGTTAAACTAACTGTCCCAAAGTTATATACTGTTTCCAATGTTAATTTATATATACAAATAATATTATAGAGACTGAGCAGGTTGTATTTATCACATACACACACACACACATGCATGCACGCACGCACACACAAATACATGTATATAACTACAGTTTAAGAATAAAGAGGCCAGGAACTTGAAAAGGAGGAATACATGGGAGATTTTTAGGAAAGAAGGAAATTATACAAATATAATCCCCCTAAAATCATTCATATATTTTAGCTTCCTTTTTATTTATTGTTTGTATTTTCAACCATACTCCCTTCATCTGCCATATGGTGGTGTGGTCAGGGGCAAATGTTCCAGACCACACCTTTCTGCCTGTGGCAGGTGGGAGAGCTGGCCCTGCCCCTCATCAGCTTTAGCACTTAGGAGAGTGACCCCTACACCTTGACTGGGCAATACAGTAGAGTTGGCCCTGAAGGTGTGCATGTGGGAGAGCCAACCCTGAGGACATGAAAGCACAAGAACTCACCCTGCCAGGGCAATGCTGGAGAGCTCACCCAGGTGGTGAGGACAAGGGAGAGCTAGAGCTTCCAGGCTGATCAACTCTGCAACTATCCAGACCCAGGGTTATGAATTGGCCCACTCCAAAAAAATTTTTTTTTGGTTTTTACGAGACAGGGTTTCTCTGTATTGTTTTGGAGGCTATCGGTCCAGCCCAGCCTCAAACTCACAGAGATCCGCCTGCCTCTGCCTCCCGAGTGCTGGGATTAAAGGCATGCGCCACCACCGCCCGGCCCAAAAAATTATTTTTTAAAAGTATGAATATACATTAGGTGTATGACTTCATAATACTTTTTTCTTTAGTGTCAACTATATTTTCTTGGCATCAAAATGCAATTTTAATTTGATGAAATATTATGATATATCTATTTTCATATCTATGATTAATACCAGTTTTTCTTTTTATTCCTTTTTTATCTATCTATTTATTTTGGTTTTTTGAGACAGGGTTTCTCTGTGTGGCTTTGGAGCCTATCCTGGCACTCACTCTGTAAACCAGGCTGGCCTCAAAGTTACAGAGATCTGCCTGCCTCTGCCTCCCGAGTGTTGGGAATAAAGTCGTGTGTCACCAATGTCTGACTCCTTTTTGTAACTTATATTTTGGATCTCATACATAATAATACTTTTCCACTTTCAAGATTGTAAAGTTTTCCACCTATTTTTTTCGAAGAGCTTCATAGGATCGGATCTTACATTTAGCTGATTAGTGTATTTTGGGATTTTTTGTATAGTGTGATGTAAAGGAGCCTTTCATTCTTTTTCAAGTGGCCATACTTTATCCCATTATCATTTGTTAATAAGATTATTTTTTCTGCATGGAATGTTCTGGACACCTTTGTAGAAGTCAGTTTAAATTAATCAATTTTATGTCTAGATTGTAATTTTGCTATTGATTTACCTGCTTATCATTGTAACAATACCACATATCATTTTTAAAAATGCTTCTGTATGGGTACTTTACTACACCAGAAAGACCCTCTGTGAACCGCACTCAGAGTAACTGCCATAGATCTCTATGATGATATTTTGTCATCAGAGTAGTGCTAAAAGAGAGGGGGTAAATTGGGACTGGATAGTACTAAGTGAGGTACAGACATGATGAGCGCTATCATATTGTATCTAAGCAATGTGCCAGATATTGCAAATGATTACCTAGGGACAGAGACAACAATCACAATGAATTCCTAATGAAACGCACAAAAGTATGACCCCGTTCTTGGGTTCTACCATTGGAGCAGGGCCCACAGACTGATCCAGCATCTGTAAACTGATCTTCTAAAGAGAGACACACAAAAGAGAACAGCACTACTTGTGGCAGTGCAGTGCATAGGAGTGACACGAGCTTCTTGAAGACAAAAAGGAACATGGAGAATCTGGAGTCTGAAACCAGCAAGTTTTCATATCCTACATCCTCATCCTCAGCTCTCCCCTGTAAAGGGAAGCCTTTTTCTTTGAAAGAAGCCTTCCCGCCAGCCTGGTTCTAGTGCCGCATCAGTCCCAAATAAACACACAGGAGGCTATATTAATTATGAAGCTGTTGGCCTTGCTTGTTTCTTACTGGCTAGCTTTTACTTAAGTAATTACCCCATAATTGTTAATCTAAGTATTTCTCTTACTGGAGAATAGTTCCGGGCTTCTTACCCCATGGCGTTACATCTTGCCTCTCTGTGTTTCTCCTTCCCAGAGTTCTCCTGGACTCCTAGTCCCACCTATCTTGGTTCCCCAATGGCCCAACAGTGCTTTATTGACATATATATAGGACTTCCCCCATCACTCCCCCTTTCACTTCTATTTCCCCATATTTACCTAGGGTCACTTTATCAGACTAATTTGGTTCTCCTGTAGCTTTGCACCATATCATTTCCCTCTTTACTGTTTTGTATTTTTGTCTCTAAAAAACATGGAATTGAGTGATTAGTAGGGTCTTAATCTGCTGAGGAATGAGACTCTTTATGTTGTCAGGCCATACATCTATTGTCACACCAGTTTCTTTTCAGTCTACTTTAAACCCCAAACTGTCCCAACTGTCTCCTCTTAGTTTTACATTTTTCTTCTACTTGAATTTATATTAGCCTCCTCAAAATTCATGGATTTTTTTCTTTTCATAGTGTCCCCAAGGTTGCATAAATTTTGTTGATAGATATTTTTTCATTTATCTTTGTCTTTGATTGAGTATTCCAATTCCTCTAACTTGTCTTCATTCCCTGATAGTCTGACTTTTTTCTGATCCATTCTTTTTGTGAGGTTTATACTAAACTTTTGTTTGATTTATTAAATTTTCCATTTTCAGTATTTTACTTTGGTATTTATTCTTCAGTAACCATTGAATGCCATTTTCCTATCCTTTGTTGACTTACTTATTTCATTCAGCTGTTTTGCTTGTGTTCTGTTAGAATTTTTTGGTGGATTTGTGTCCACTTTTCTTTGTATACTTTCTGTCTAAGTTGGTTTTATAATCTTCCTGTACCACTAACTAGGGCAAAAAAAATCAGTGGCTGGATAGGTCATAGGCCCTAATACTATTATTAGGCTAAATTGATACGGTATTATTGTATTAAACTGGCCTCTATGTTCTTATCTTTAAACCCATTGATTATTGAATCTCTTAGCCCCTCAGAGTAACTTCTTTTTTCAGCAGATGACAAAAACTCACAACCAGTTAATGTGCAGAGAATAAGAGACTGTGATATGCATATCTCCAAATGGGATTTTATGTCATTACAGAAGAAGGGATGAAAAAATATAAAAGCCAGAGGGAGTAGCTATCTGTAATACAACCATAAAAGCCTAACACAAGGTCACAGTTGTACATACAAACTCAGAATTATATATTAGAAAGGCTACCTATGCTCCAGTAGATGGATCCACAGACATACACATAGGGAGTACTAAGTAGACTCAGAGGGTATTAAATTTAAAAGATAAATAAAGCACATAAAGTTGGAAGAGAAAGCTAGAGGATATAGGACGTGGATTGGAAGGTACAAAAAGTCCAGTTAAGTCAGTTATGTCTGTTTTCAGTCTGTTTTTAGCAGCCTAAATGCTGACAGTTCCAGGTATCTTTGTTTGATCACCATATACTTGGAATTAAAGCTATCCCCTACCATTTTATATTCATTGCTGCCTGTTGTGATTTTAGGCCCATCAGTCAATTAAATTCAAAGAACTTAGAGCACCTTGAACCATCAGCCAAGAATATTTTCCTACAGAAAGGGAAAGAAAGGAACAGAAACAATTGTAAAAAGCAAAGATCATTAATTATTGTTTAGAAGTCCATGCCCAAATTTGTAGGGCTTATAATCTGTTGGAATAATATTAGTGTATGCCATCAGCAATGTCTGTTTTATTTTTTGTTATCTGATACTTTACCAAGACTTCTTGTCTCAACTGAGTTGTATGCAAATGTAACAAAAGCATTTTTGTAGAATATTTGTATAAACTTAACCAGAAATACAAGTCACAAATCTTTAAAAATGGCTTTACATGATATTTTACTATTCATGGTATGATCTGATGGTCAGCCTATAAAAAAATCAATTCTTTTCTAGGATAGCTGCATTTAGTAATCAAATTTCTGTATTAAAATGTCAGGGTAGTAGATAAATAAAGAAAATCAGGCTCTTAGTGCATTGTTATGAACCATGATAATATTGAAATTGGATACAAGGCAACAGCAGTGAGCCATGCCCTAGA